TTTATTTATTTGTTTGTTTATTTATTTATATATTTATTTATTACTTAAGTGAGCTAGAGATTTTTTTCTGTTGCTTACAACCCAAGATCTCTAAGATATTTATGGCTCCAGTGTAGCGCACATTGACCCGATGACAAAAGGAACTACTTTCTTAAAAGACTGGAAGCCCTGCAATTAAAGACAGAGCTCTCAGGAATTTGGAAAGTCCAAGGTTTCAGGCTTTGAATGTTTATTTGTTTAAAATTTACACAGTAGTGTGTTTAGGAAAAAAATAGTCTGTCCACCCTCCTTTCTGTTAATTTTGGAGGATCCCCTTTTATACTGCTTGGTCTATAAAATTGCTATGACAGTGAGTTAAATCAAACATACTCACCTTGAAGTAGATGATAAGTGCGCTGGTTAACACACTGATGCTCTGAAACAGATCCCCAAGCGCATGCACAAAAGCTGCTCTGACACTGGCATTAGCTTGCACTTCCTTGTGACTGTGGCCAGGAGGCCTCTGGTGCAAAATCACACTTAGTCTGAACAAGAGAACATGTTCTCAGCACACATGAGATTAACCCTTAAAAACCTACCCGGCACAATGGAAGAGTTAACAGTAGCATAGATTATCCAAATTGACAGGTAAATAAAATATTCATGTTTTAAGATATACTATTTTGGACTAGTTTTGAACACAAGTGGATCATAGCATTTTCAATTTTTCACAGAAGGGCAGACAATGAAGATTTGCCTCAGTTTTCCTTTCCGCCTAATGCTCCCCTTTCACATTAAAATTGGAAAGCATCACTACTTTGATGAAAGCCAAGTATTTTACAATGAGGAGGAAATATATCATTTATTGGGGGTCTACTTACTGTCAGGCTCTGAGCGAGGCTTAAAGCTGAACTTTGATGGGAGCTTAATTAGATGTACTGGTTTCAAATGCATAAAGCAGCAGGAAGGAGTAAAACAAAATAAGTAGTGAATTTCATCAGGGCTGGATTTTTTTAATCTTTTACTTAATTTTGTTCATTTACATAAGAATTTGAAATTTTAATGGCCGATGATGAGCATACATTGCTTATGTATATGTATCTATTTATCCAGAGAGTAAAATATATTAATATATTATAAATGTATTGCAAAATTTAACATTTCCTATCCAAATCAAAGTCTTAAATAGTAGCCATTATAAATTATGCACCTGATTCTATTTATCTACAACCTCAAGAGGTATTAGACCAAAGGCAAAATGAGAACTTTTTTTTACTGATGGCCAACAAGGAGTGTTTTGCCTAGAAACTTCTCTGTACATTTTGTAACAAAGGTTTTAAAGAAGTATTGTTTAGGACCACGTACCCTTGCTTTCAGAAAAGTGTCTGTCAACTCTCAGACCATCATCACAACGTGAACTGACTACTGTCCACCAGGATTTGCTTTTCACATAATGTTTCCTTTTTAGACTGTCAGTGTTTCGGCAGAAATTGACCCTCAATTCGGAGCTACCATTTCAGGGTCTTCAGACAGCCTCCCACGGCTGGCAGTTACTAGACTCTCTTTCTAGGTCTGCTACTAGTATGTGTGCTCATCATGTTGTCATTCATCCTTTCACTCATTTTATTAAAAAAAAGAAAAGAAAAACTTAGGGACGCATGTATGCTAGGCACTCTTAAATGTTTAGGGCATAAGAGTAAGTGAAAACAGACATGGTCCCTCCCCATTGTGGCTTCAAGCATGAAGGAGATGCAGAGAATTTAAAAAGACAAACACACACATACATGGAAAATTCTAATTATAATAAGCCTACTAAGATAGTCAAACAAGGGAATCTGATTTAGTTAACAGGACAGCGCAATCGAGTCGGATGTGAAAGGTTAGAGTTTGGCTAGGAGGGAAGGGAATGTTCAGGCAGAGAAAATTTAGCATGCAATGGCCTTAAGGCTCTGTCAATAATTTTCATCCTAGAATCCCTTTGCAACCTGTATTATAACTTTCTATCCTGATTTTGAGTCCCCAAGGAATAAATTTATTCCCAAATTGTGGTTGTCTATTCAGACAACACAGCCTCTACCTGTACTTGGAACCTGTAATCCCAGTTCTGGGAGAAAACATTATAGTCACTCAGTAGCCTTATCCATTAATAACTACCTGCTTGCACAGGGAAGTTAAAGCTTTTTAATTCCCTTATCTTTCTGAGCACCTGAAAATTAAAGTCAAAGTTCAACAGCAGTTGCAGTAAAAAGAAAACGTGGATGGTATCTGTTTAGAAAGTCAAACTCAATCACTGAGGGTCCAGATTTATGTGGTAGTTAGCTAGGGGTACCCTTCATCTTCGTGTAGCATCGATACAATTATGTGCCATATGACTTGGGAAATAATTAATATTTTTATTCTTCCTGCTGCCTTGTGGACATGTTGTTCTCCTATGCAAAGATGATGTTATTGATCCCCCGTCAGCAGGACATGTGCTCTGGCTTGTCTCCTAGTGGTGATAGATTGGGATTGATCTCCCCAATGCCAATGTGAAACACTTTTTCAATATAACTGGGTGGAAATAGGGATCTAGTCAGTTACAGCAGATGAAATATCACTCTTCTAATGGTTTAGCTCAGAGATTTTGGCAATGGTTTGCAAACTAAGAGGTGAGGAACAGAGCCAGGCACAAGGTAAGGGTTCTAGAGGGACTTGGGGGGCTTTCTCTATGTGTGTATGCTCAGCTTTTCCTCTAGTTCCAGAGATCCACTGTGCCCTTGCTTTAAAAACACTGTTTAAGATGCCATTCTTCTATCACTGTCTTCTTCACTTTCATGTATAAGCCTATTGCAGTATATCACGTGGCAGTGCAAGATAGACAGGCGGATGATGCATAGATAGTGTATGAGTTTCCTATTGCTGCTGTAACAAGTTACCGCAAGCCTTTCTACCTTAGAGCAACATACATTTATTATCTTATCGTTTTGGAAGTCAGAAATCTAAAATGAGTGTGCTGGACTGCATTCCTCCTGGAGGTTTTAGGGGAGAACACACTTTCTTACCTTTCCCAGCTCCTAGATGTCACTTACATTCCTTCATCTTCAAAGCCAGCAATGCAGCATCTTCTCCCCTCTCTGACCTGATGCTTCCCTTCTATAAGGACCTTTGTGGTGACATTGGGCCTATCTGGATAATTCAGGATAATCCCCCCATGTCAAGGTCCATCTTTAACTTAATCACATTTAAAAATTTCTTTTATCATGTAAGGTAACATATTTAGAAGTGCGAAGCCTTAGAATGTGGAAAAATTTGAGGGGCCATTGTTCTCTCTACCACAGATGATACAGATAGATGGACAGACAGACAAATAGATACAGTTTTAAATAGGGTTGTCCAGAATTATTTTGTCAAATGGGAAGGAGCAAATCGACCAAAAGGATCAAATCCCTGGCCTTAAAACCCCATTGTCATAAGAAACCAAGTAGCTCATTTGGAGAAGAGCAGACAAATATGGCAATGATCACATGTCCAGTAGGACATGGTCACACATCCCATAAGAGTGATTTATGACTACCTGGTTAAGGTGATGAACCAACAGGTAGAAAATAACGAATTTAGCTAATATAGCTTAAGGCAGAATTTTTATATAGTCAAAATATTGCAAAGATATGGTAGAGTGCTTATGAGAGAAATAAATTCTGCTATTAGTTCTGTTAAAATATATGAAACTAATGACCATTTTATGGGATGTTGCAAAAGAGAATTCAAAAGTAGAAAGGGGACTAAAGTAAATAAAATTTAAGATCCCTTCCACTCCAGCTCTGTGGGAAGCCATAATATGCCCCTGTAATAAAAACTGAGTAGGCGTAAGTCACGTCCCGTGTGGAACCATCAATATGCATGAGAGCAGAA